TTTTTTTTTTGGACAAAGTAAATATTTACTATTACATTTTATATTTAAGGGGGTGGGGGAAAGGGGGAACTGGGGATTAGACTTCTTACCTCCCAGCAGTGTTCCCACTTAAAAGAGATAATTCCTCCATACTTATTTGATCTTTCCTCTAGACTTATTTGATCTTTCCTTAATCATGAATCATAGTGATATGATGTTCCTAACGAGTGGTATTACTTTCTCTCTTAAATAGATGTCATTTTTTTATTCATAAATTGCCCTAAATTAATTATTATTATTTTATTTTTTAAGAATAAATAAATAATTTTTTTATTACTTTTAATTTTTTTGTTGATTAACTTTAATTATAAAGCTTTATAATCAAAATTTTCATTTTATTTTTACGTTTTCTTGAGACTAATATATAAATATATAATTTATTTTGAAATTTTTAATATGTGATAAAAATAAAAAATAATTATTTCAGGATAGATGTAGTTGGATAAATGGTAGTCTAATGCTAACTTTAAACCTCTACAATAAGTCAATAACCAAAACAAAAATTACCTTGTGTTTTACGTTTGGGTTGTTGTGTACAACACTTAAAAACTTTTGGCATACTGGCACAATATTTTTCAGAAATTTTGCTTTTGATAAATTAATAAGAACTACTCTTGCTTTTCAACTTTTACTCCCTAGGTGAAGTTTTTTCAATAAAATATGTTTGGGTTAAGGAAAATAGAGAGTAGAGAAAAAAATTTATTTATTTAATTATTAAAAGAATTTGAGGGAAAGGAAGGGGTGAAAATCCTTTGTTTTATTTTTAAAAAATTTATTTACTTATTTAAATGAAAGGAAGGGAATGGAGGGGAGTGAATGGAAGGATATCCCTCAACATAAACATATGATAAAATAAAAATATAATAATTTATCAATAAATTTTCATATTTTTCCCTAATTAATCACCACTTTCTTATTATTTAATATATGTTGTAATTATCTTTTTAAAATAAAGATAAAATAAAAGTGAAAATATAAATAAAATTTTAAAAAAAGTAAATAGCTAAATTTAAAATCCAAATAAAAAATTAAATATAGAAAAATTAAACAAAGAGAGTTTTTTTTTTTAAGGCAAAACCTTACATAAAACTCCCAAA